GTGCCCAATATGTGTATTTGAAACATTTTTGATTGATTGAAATGACTCCTGATGTTATGAGAGTAATTCAAAACACAAAAATGACTAGGAGTGTTTATTTAAATTTTTTTGGAATTAAATTTCTTGCAAAGCACAGTAAAGAACACAATAAGTTCTCCCTAAATACTAATTACTAACATTACCGCTCACCTATTGGGACTTAATTAGAGGTTGGGGCAATAAATTTAGCTCCTAGTGGGATGTATAAATCCCTGTTGCTGTAATTAACCTCTATATTAGGCGATGCACAGCAGGAAAACAGGATAACCTGCCGTATATCTCCCACATCAAAAGCCAGAAATGTTTGCAAACTACTAAACCTTTAAACTCTTGCATGCCACAATGATCAGCAAGTCTTGCATTGGTGCTATTATGAAAAGTAATTTCATCTGAAAATGTTGTTACTGCTTTTAGCACAATGCAATAGAGAGCAGCAAAGATGTACCATTACATCTTTCCATCTAGCACGCTGGCTTATATCGCTATATTGGTCAGCCATCTTATATAGCGGCTGATCTAGAGCTGTTAGCAACAGAGAATCACAGTGGAGGTATAATCCTCCCCATCTTTTCTGTCAGATGTGTTATGATTTCATTTGCATCTTCTAATATCACAGATTAGTCATGGAACGGTGACAAACAGTGATGACGTGTTTGTTCAGAGACCCAACTAGTTACGAGGAGAAATAATAGTAAAACAACTTTTTATGAACTTTTATATGGTCATCTATCCTGTGGTAGCAATGGCTGAAGCTGCCTTTAGTTACACATCGTAATTTCTCGGATTACTCTGACGTGCACAAGAGGGAGAAGTGGACCTGTGTCGCCACAATATGATGAAGGCAGGCAGTGATCAAGCAAGTCTGATTTTTCGCCACTTAGTCCATGTTTCACTCACGACAACTTAAATACAACATTGTCTCGTTATTAAAACATTATAAGGACGCGATATGCTACATTACTAAAACACTACGTATTTGTCTACAGTTTAGTTGCTTTACGTTAATGCTCCAAATGCTGGTTGGAAGAGAAGTTAAAATTATCAGACAATCAGATCTCTTCTTTATTTGGATCAGACGCAGAGATAAAAACGATGCTGCTAGAGCCAATAAACAAGCAGGACAAAAGCTTAAACAAAACAGCTATTAATCTGTTTTTCAAAGTGATTTGTGGACATCAGCAGATGCTTTCTACTAACATATAAAAAGTTAAACCAAAGGAAAGAAAACGCTTGAGAAACATTATGTTCACAAACAACACCGGTGGTTCCTCACTGCTGTGGCTGCCAACTCGCCGCTTGAGGCATTTTGTCAAAGTTGTGGCATACACTGTGTTGTGTCCTCTTCCTCGGTCTTCTTTAAATCTAAAATCCTAATTTCTAAATAATAAATCTGAGACAAAGTGCTTCCAACAGAGAAACTGTTTTTAGTGGATGAGGACAAATCCAACCTCTGTGCTTACCAACATTTACTGTGTAGATTATCTTTGTAGCAAAAGATGCCTAAAAAGGTCTTGGTTTCAGAACATTACAAATTAAAAATTACTTGAGAAACAATAAACCACCCATGATCATGATTTATTTATGCTCATACTTTAAATATTTTTACGATCTCCAGCTATGATTTTAGCTGAACTTCAATGGTAACGTTTGCTGCTTGCGGAAAGTGGGGACACAAGCACTAAAGCTTTTCCTAATTTTGGAATAAATGTGGCTTGAGATGATGACGGCAAATGCGGAATAAGCTGGGAAACACGAGTTAATTTTTGGACGAAGTTAGGTAACTGGCATTTGGGAAGAGATGCTTGCAGAGTGAAAATAAATTATTTCAAAATGACTAAGTTACATCATGGGGTCAGAGATGCACTGCTCCGTGCACCACTGTGCTGTGACAGGATTAAGAGGTTAGGGTTCATTTTACCGGGACACACATGCACCACACAAGGCTGGTTGAGGTAAGGTATACCCAAATATGGTAAAAAAAATAAAAATACTAGGATACATATACACACACAGTAGGCTACAGAAGGTTCAGAAATCTATCTACAAATTATATAGGGTAAACTAAGATATGCTTAAGTTTCTGCAAATGAGTATTAAAGAGAGCTAGACAGAATACCTTAACATGGAAAAATCCTTCAAAGCAAATGAAAATTAAGAGATGGACCTCAGAGTGATAATATGGGACATTTTTAACTTAGATTTAGTTTTCTAATCAGGATATCTATCCATAAAGGGGTTCTACAAGCAGACAATTTAACCAAAACAAAAATATGTGCAAAATAAAAAACTAAAAAAAAAAAACAGAAGGTTGAACCAGACAGTAGGAGGACAGACAAAGAGAGAGTGGGGGCTGCTGAAAATTAAGAGAGTTTGCTCTTTGCCCAAATAAGTACCTATCAACAGAAAATCTGTGCCCCGCTGAGTTGTGGATAAGCAGCCAGAAGAAAGAAGCTGTGGAAATAGAACATGTCCATATAGAGGGAAGCCAAGGAGAGAGGAAAAGGGAAGGCCAAGGGGTTAAATGCTTCCCCAGAATGTGAGCTTTCCACTAGCATGAACCCAGTGAAGAGCGTCCCCTCAAGTCCCAGATGACTTACACCCTGAGGGTCCGCTGTGAGTATGACTGAGCACAGGCAGCTGAAAAACTGCCCAAAAATAATACAGTTTTCCATGATCCAACTGCCATGTTTACAAGTGATCTAAGCACTAACGACAGCAGACATGGGAGTTTTATGAACCCTAATACAGAATTATTATTCCCCCCCCCGTCAGAAGTAGTGACTTTTTAAGTACTGGTCAAACACTGAAAGGCAAGAGGGGAAAGGAGGGAAACCTGTCTTGACAAACAAAACACCCCACAGATGTTGCGCTGCTCTTCGATGCCCCTGGTCTCCATAGCAACCCTGCCGACCAGTAATAGCCTCCAGCCCGGCCAACTGCAGTGGCGTCACGAAGACGCGCACTCACATTAATCCTCTGAATGGGATCCCAGTGTGTATTTATGGCGACACAGGGACTCGCGAGGACCCGCAGGGGACCCACCCAGTCCCACCACCCTCCCTGAGGCATTACCAGAGAACATCCATGTCTAAAAAAACGGACTCTGAACTCCTGTCATTAAACAGCTTGGACCAAAGAGACAGACACACACACACACACACACACACACACACACACACACACACACACACACACACACACACACACCCTTAAAAACAGATCTACCAACTCCCATGGTTCAAGTAAACAAGCTCTGTAATTGGCAATAACAGATAGCGGGAATTAAATATTAAAGCTGGCTTGTGTTTTGTCCAGTACGTGCAAAGAACACCGATCGAAAGGGCTTAAGAAACCTCTACTCTAATCCAAGGCTCTAGCTCGCTTTTCCAAGTCAACATTTCATGCTTTCCCTATCTTACATTTCCGGTATTCTCAGGCAATTTTTAGCCAACGTTAATGTAATAAGCAGAAAAGCTAACAATGAATTCATGGCAGATTTTTTTTTAGCTAGTTATTTTGGTCACTAGACTTTAAATGTGGACCCTTCAAAAAACATTAAACAACAATGATGAATGGATGGATGGCTCAGGAAACAATATATCATCACTGCAATATCAGTGTGTACAATATCGATATCGCAAATGAATGTATGGAGAGCAGTAATTTTTGTAATATATTCTAAATGTAATAAGCACACAATTTTCTCATGCAAACGTAATATTTAGCCAGTTGGACAGTCCCAAATGATATTGCCCTAAATCAGTGGTTCTTAACCTGGGTTCGATCGAACCCCTGGGGTTCGATGAATCGGTCTCAGGGGTTCGGCGGAGCCTCTGCCGCGGAGGTAAAGACAGACTTGTGTAAAGTCGTGATGACGCCCCGCTTTGCCATCACTTGCTGCAGAGGATCACGTTACATTGCTTAGCCAATCAGTGCTAAGCAATGATTGGCTAAACTCACCGTTTTTACCAAATTCTGTAGCTTTCGGTGTACTTCTAAATCTGCTCCTTAGTCGCATCTTTTCAGGTTTGGTACTGCCTCTAGTGGCGTGGGGGTGGTAACACAACTAATATAATTACATTATTAAATCAGAATACCGCAAAGTCTTTATTTATTATAAATTTTTCATTATCTTAAGAATGTAGAGCTAATTAAATGACCTTAAAGTGGTTCCAGTTTCTCTCGATGGCCAACCTGTTGAAACTGTGGTAGATTTTAAACACCTTGGGTCGTTCCTGGACAGTCAGCTCAACTTTGCTGAAAACACTGACTGTATTTTGAAGAACTGTTCTCAGAGACTCTACCTTTTAAGAAGACTTAGTGATCATGGGGTGACCCAACTAGACTCTAGTTGGGGCACCCCTATGTCTTGAATTTGGTGGGGGGAATCATATTTTATTTATCACTACAGAAGGGTTCAGTGAATGCGCATATGAAACTGGTGGGTTCGGTACCTCAAAAAAGGTTAAGAACCACTGCCCTAAATGCTAAAATGCACAGAGTGACTAAGGCACCAAAGATGAAAATAGGCTTATTTTGATTAATTAATCACAATTTTTAATATTATAGCCATAACACTCTAATATCACACAGTCCTAAATAAGCTATATACCTTATTTTCAAAACTTTTTCAGATAAGGACAGCTCCTTTTGACCTATAATCCATCAGAAATACCAAACAATCAGTTACTTCCTAAATCCATAAAATCTGTTTTATTATAAGACATGTTGCATTACGTTCCAACCACAGACCTCCATATACCTTCTCCACCGTTGTTCGCTATAATAACCACTTTATATCACGGCCTTTCATGGACATTAGCAAGAAATTCTGCTCCATTTTGTAAAGGCGAGAGCAATTTGCAGTTCAAGCCAGGCAGTGAGATGATGATTACGTAAAAGACTGAAATACACTGAGAGCATCTGCGATGGAAGCAGGAGGTGAATCCAAGAGTACTTACCAGGTGACAGACAGTGGGACAGAACACTGAGGGGAGGGGGAACACTGGAAGAGAGCACCAGTCCACTCTAAAGAAAAGAGAGAGAAAAAAGGAACGTGTCAAGTCATTTGCAAAAATCTGATGTGCTAACTTCTTTATTAAGCTTCACTTTATACACTTACAAGAATATTACAAACAGTTGCTACGCCCTCAGGGGAGAGACTCTTACACACAAGCACACTCGCAGCATTGTAATCACTGGCTCAGAGAGATTCTCCTCATCCTATTTGGCCAGAGCAGATTTTTTAATTATTCTTCTGGCCTCTCCTAAATAAACCTTTAATAGGAGACTGGTTTCCTTAAGAAAGGCAGCCTTCATCAAACCGAGAGCTGGAAATGAGCTGGCAAATTACACAAACCGCGTCCGCCTCCGCATCTGGCCTGCTGTAACTTCTGAGCGACAGGTACGCGAAGCGAGAATTACAGAGTCTGTTAAGAGCTTAATAAGCAAAGGCGAAGGCAAAGTGGGGGGTATAAGGAGGGGCAGAGACACAATGTGGTTAGGCAAAGAGTGGAACAGTACAAATGGGAAAAAAAAAAAACCCGACACAATCTTCTTCTTAGCAGGACAAGGATTTTCTCAATATTTCCGTTAATTTGCAGAGATCTGGATTTGGCTCTCCTGAACTCATCGTCACTGTTCTGCCTGGGTTTACACAAAGCAGGACCGGAATAAGTCAGTTATGGTTTTGTTATACAATTGCTTTGCAAGATAAACTTACTGTAATTGTTTTTGTCTTGAAATAACCTTCCTTATTATCATTAAAAGTGAGAAAACAGTTCTGTGCCTCAATATTATTTGATCAATCAAATCAAAGTAGTTTTTATTTGAACACTGCCAAATTACATAAATGTGACAAGATGCTCAATATCATTTAATTTTAAGAAGTACTAACTGAATTTGTTTATATTTTAACTGTTTAATGGGTAATTTTATCAATACATTTTGCAACAACTGGCCCTTTGAGTGCATTCATGACCTGGAAGAAAAATGACATAAAGCATTTTCCAGCGGACTGCTGAGAGAAATACTTTATAATGACCAGATTCATTCAAAAGCTGCACGATATATTTTATGTAAATAATGTCATTAATAACTGCTACTTTTTTAACATGCTTTCAGATGAAAAAAAAAACATGTTTAGGCCAATTGACAGGGTTGGGAACCACTACGAAACGTATAACTTAAATCGTACACTGTACAGCAACCTGAACTGAAACTGTTAACCCAAGTTAACAGCAGATGGTAAAAAATGGTAAAGCTTAATGAAACTGGTTTGTTTTTTTCTGGTATAAACACATCTTTTAAGCATAATGCATAAAATTGTCACAGGGTTGAGACTGGGATCGTTTCAGAAACTTCATCTCTTTCCTAATGTATGTTTGGGAACATTGTTATGTAGGTGCCAACTACCATGATGACAAACTTGTCAATTGAGAAGCATGTGCATTTGAGTGTGAATTTAGGAGAATGAAAAATATTTTATGGAAAATAAACTGCAACTGAAACCATTTATTTTGCAGCAACACCCATTAATACCGACATAATGTTACTCCCACCTCTGCACACATAACACCATGAAAAACAAATCCTGCACTGTCATTAGGATCCATCATTTTAACAACAAAACTGTGATATTTTCTGCTGCAAACACTGCGAAACCTAAACAACTTGGACTTGTTCTGGATGCTGAATGTAATTTAGGAAAACAAACCTATAAAAAGCAGGTTTCTTTTGTGAAGAAAACAAAGCTAAAAATGAAGCTGATTTTTATGATGTTCACCTGCTCCTACTGCCTCTCCATTTCCTTTTTGTCTGGGCCTGTCTCTCCCACAGCTCATGCAGATCAAGTATTCCACATGTCAAGTGGTTCCCACTAGATGAGAACTGTTCATCTGGCTGGAGCAGAGCCATCCTCTGCTCCAGCCAGAGCAGAGGATGGCTGGGTGTACTACTCTGCGTCAAAAAAGGTAAGCCAAGTCTTGTGTACACGTAAACATATAAAAATATACTCAAATAGTGATACAAATGCTATTCTGTTGCTCTGAAGGGACCAAACCGGAGTGAGGAGGGGACCACTACCTCACCAAAAATACATCTGGTGGGTTGGAGCTTGCTTATTTAAACAGTAATGCATGTTCTGCATCCAGTAACCTTTGTTACTGCAAATTGTTTGCAAACAATTTGCAGAAAAATTTGGGTTTTTTTCTGTTGCCACAAAAAAAAAGCCAATCACACAGATTTCTAGTGCTGAGGATTCATCTTTTTTCTATCTTTTATGTAGTTCTGGATAGAATTTTAAATACATACACGAGCCAGGTCGTATTAGTCATACTAATTTTGGACTTCAGCTGTGCAGTGATTAGTCTATCAAGTAAGAGGGGGGAGGGGGAAAACACTTATTCATTATTTCACTCTCAACAACATGGTTTCTGGCTACATCTGCTGCTTTGACAATGAAACAACTTAGTTGGAGTTTCTTACTGACGTCACCAGAACATCTTAATGCCCCATTAAACAAGACTTTCCTTATATTACCAATACAGAAAGAATAAAAGCATGGTACTTACACAAATAGGTTCATATTTATTGCAATTTAAGCAGTTATTTGTCTGGTATAATTCACTTCCATAAGTTTGTTTTCTTGCACAAACTCAGCTTTTCCATAGACATTAATTCTCACAAGGTCTTAATAGCAGCTAAATATCTGCTTTATCTAAAAAACTGAGTTTTAATGAGTTTTGGGGTGAATATCATCTTGTAAAACCAAGTTTGAAATCTCTGACTCACCCTCACAGTAAAGGAAGCTGGTTGAATTCAGGTAACCAAGTGACCAGCAAGGCACACAATTATCATCGGAAGATGCTGGAAGATCCGCATCAGAGGTTTGACATAAACATGAACTGAGAGGTTGATAACCAAGAAAAAAAGCTCATGCTCCAAGACAGACACCTTCAAGTTTGACTCAAATCTGCAGTTATCCAACCTGGATAAAGCAAACATCTTCTGGAGAAATGCTTTATACTTACACAAAACAAAGACTGAGGTATTGGACCAAAACAAGAGGAAGAATGTGTGCAGGATACCAAAATAGAGCGCCGCACCAACAGTTAAGTACGGTGGTGATAGCATCATGCTGAAGGTCTTGCAGATAGTAGATGGCATATTAAGTCAGGATGACAACTCCCAATTCTTCAACTTCACCTCAAACTCAGTTGGATCATTCAACAAGACAATTATCCCAAACACAGTTCTTAACCAGTAGCATAGCTAAGTAAGTAAACTTTATTTATATAGCACCTTTCACAGACATAAAAATCACAAAGTGCTTTACAAAAAAGGAAACATCAATAATAAAAGAATCTAAAATCAATGAACAAAATTAACCAAAAGCCAGTCTGAAGATTTAAGTCTTGAGACTTTAGCTAAACCAGGCCAACACTAAACCTCTGGAATGGCACAAAACTTAACCCAAATGAAAATTCATGCATATGCCTACAAACAAGTCTGTGAAAGGAAACAATCCAATTGAAATTCACAATATCCAGTCCTGCTGAAAAGAGCAGTGAAATCTTAAGTCAGAACTATCAAAATCTTGTGGTTTCTCTGCCTGTTGGTAGACGCTTCTATCCAAAAATTACTGATGATCAAGATATATATTTGAGCCTATATGTGCAGTTGTCATCATGAGTGGATATGAGCAGAGATCCTTGTCCTCAGGGCTTGTCGTCCTGTATGTTTTAGATCAGGAAAACTACAGAACAGTGGCCTTTGGGGACTAGAATAAACTCTGAATTAGTGAAACTCCTGAATTAACAAATTCAAAAACACTACAACTGTATGTTATGTCATCATTCTACCATCCATAAAAGGAAAGTCAAATTAATTAAAACCCCCAAATTATTGTATTTTCACTTAGGATGAATGTGTGCACAAAATTCTCATCTGAACTATATCTAACCTTTCAAGCCAAATTAGGCTTTAAGCACCGTGTCTATAGCCATCTTATAAATGTAGTTCATGGGAACTCATAAAGTATCTTCATATTTCAACAATTACTATTCAGTAGGAAATAAAAATCCAAAGATTTAGCTACCCGATAGAATTGGCCCCTTTTCTACAGTCTGTCGTGCATTTTTAGAAGGTTCTATTCCCGGTAACACCCAGCAGTGTTGTAATAATACCTTTTGATCAGAGCAAGAGGTAACAGTCTAGTAATCTCCCCCCTACCTTTCACAGGATTTAAATGGCACAAACAGTGGCAGGTCTACCTTCGTCACTCAGCTCAGTAGGGGTAATGTACAGGGGGCCTGATTAAAAGGATAGCAAGTACACACAAACCCTGAAGTATCACAAGATGGTATATGGCAAGGGAACATACACAATGCATGTTGCGTAAAAATATCCTTTATAAACAAACCAATGGCCAAATGTTTCATATGCAAGATTACTGAGTGACGTTTGGCTTGAATCTGGAGAGGTTGGACTTATCGATTAAGACTTTTGACACAATAAAGAACAAGCTAATCACATGAGCATATAGTTTACTGCATCAGTGAAACAAAACTATTTTGGTGGATGTTTTCAGCAAATCCCCTAAATATATTGGTTGAGAGTTCTCTCCAATCGAGCTTAGGGGTAAAACCAGTTTTCAGATTTGCAGAAACTTTTTTTTTTCTCAGGCAAACGCATTGCTCAGCTGTCTAGACTACACTGTTCACACAAATCTTATAAGTTCTTCCTCAAAGTTTCTATGAACATGAGCTCAGGAATTTGTGATAATCCCTCCCAAATATATTCTTTATATCCCTAAGCCACTTGTAACCATCTGGATGGCATGCTTTATGTCATTTTCCATTTGGAAGACCCATTTTTTGCCCAAGCTTCAACTTGGTTTCAATACGGTCTTTTCCTTTTTTCTCGGACCAATACACACATTTCATATAAAAACACTTTCATCATTAAGACAGAAAACAGTCTCCTTCCAGAACTGTATAAAGGCTGGGCATCTTTGTAGCATTTATATG